GGGACCGGCAATGTAAGATAAACTTACATAGGCGGAGTTGCCTCCATGAAGGAAGAATTGGGAAAATGTTTATCCCTAAGCACCATACCAAGCATAGACTCTAGATTATTTAACACCCTACAACTAATTTTGACCAATATTGCCAAATTAAATCCAATGAGATCTCGGAAACCCAATCAACCAAGCTTCTTGCCCATGTCATCTTATCCCACAGTACCCAGTGACACCTTTTATTCTTAGACTGTCATTTCCACCAAATATGAGGAATAACTTGTTCCATTTATTTACAAGTACCCAATGGCAATTTAAAGCACGACATAGCATGATTCGGAATTGCTATTGCAACTGATTTAATCAAGATTTCCTTCCCAGCCGGAGAAAGAAATTGCTCCGCCCAACCATCAATACGACTTTCAATACCTTGATGCACCGCTTCAAACACTGCCTTCTTCGAGTGCCCAAAATCTGCCTGTATTCCCAAGTATTTGCTGAATCCATCACGAGCTTGAATGTTCATTTTCATAACAATACGCTTTTTTTGCTTCTTCGAACAACCTTTCCCAAAGAAAATAACGCGTTTCTCCAAATTAATAATTTGACCAGAAAACATACCATAATCCTCCAAAATTTGAATCATACTTCCAGCCTCCGTCTCATCCACTTTACAGAACACCACCCAAATCATCTGTAAAAAAAAAAGATGAGTGATTGGCACAACATTCGGCGCCACCCGCACCCCACTAATTAGACCATTCATCTCATGTTGTCGAATATATGCCGAAAGAGCTTCCGCACATAGGAGGAATAAAATGGGGACATTAGATTCCCTTGCCTCAATCCCCCTTCCGGTCGAAAATATCCTGATGGTACACCATTCACCATAACACTATATGATACCGTAGAAATGTATTCTCGAATCCAATCTTAAAATTTGGAATGAAACCCCAAATTGATCATAACCTGGATCAAGAAGCCCCATTCCACCTTATCATACGGTTTCGCCGTATCCAACTTGATCACCATTCTACAATCCTCCCCGTCCACCCCTTGATTTAAAGAATGCCAGATTTCATGTACTACCAAGATATTATCATGAATATGCCGTCCCGGTACAAAAGGCGACTGATTTATACTAACAGCCCGATCCATCACTTTTTTTTAATCTCCTTATGAAAACCTTGGCAATGATTTTGTATACAACATTACATAAGGAAATTTGCCTCAATTCCGTCATCCGCCATGGAGCTTTCACATTTGGAATTAACACTCAATGTGTATGATTAGTCTTTTATAATAACCACCTTCCAATGATCCTGAAAAAACCCTGCCGAGAAACATCTGACTGAAATAATGTCATAAAATAGTTAGCATCAATGTCCTGCATGCATACCGGATCCTTCTGCCATACTCTGTTATTATCTTCTAGCCCCTGTATCCGATTACTCATTCTTCGTTGTACCGTTTGGGCATGAAAAAATTTAGTATTTTTATCCCCATCTCGGAGCCAAGTATTCCTTAATCTCACCTTCCAATATTGTTCTTCCTCCTTAAAAGCCATTGCCAGCTCCTTTTCCTTTGCCTTAATCTCTCATTACCGAACACACAAGTCCACCATCCCCTTTCAGATCTTTTCCCTCAATTCTTTTATACACCTTTTGGAATTTGGGTTCGTCAACGTCTTCCACAAACCAATTCAGTATCGAGTCCCTTCAATTTCTCACAGACTTTAAATGCTAAAAACCCATCCACTGGTTCCCGCCATGCTTCCGTAATGATATTATGGCACTCCGGTTTCTTCCCCCACCTAGAATGATAGGTAAAACGATGTGGCCCTTTTTAACTGGTTCTTGTAAGAGCAACCATATAAGCTCTATAATAAACTAGCCAAGAACATAAGATTTAACCAACTAAATCACAATCATAACTCCAAATATATTCTGTATATGCAAATACTGAAGTAATATCTGCAACACATACCTGCAAACTATTTGCCGAAGTCTTTCCCGTGTGTTCTATCACAATAGTCCTTCATAGTTTGTTGTATGATCTCCCTATCCCACACATGGTGAAGATTGGATTTGTGTCTATACCAACGCAAGGCTATTGAGTTTCCTACCTCATCTGATAGAACCCGACATGCTTGGCTGATGAATATCTCCCACAGCAACACACATGTTCTTCACGGCATTGATCACAGGAAAGAAAGTGCTAGACACCATATCATAACTATGTTCAACAAATTAGGATTAAGAGCCATTAGAGAAATCTACACACAACCTTCTCATCTCTGCAAAACTCAATGCTCTCCAAGTTATAGGTAATTGGAACAATAAGAGCGTATTTTGTGAGAGCAGGGGCTTGTGGTTTTATACTACAAGACCTGGATTGCCCTATAACAATCCCACAAGAAATACAAGACTGCATTCCTTATATCAATACGAGTCCTATAAACGAGCAAACACAAGAGTCCTCAATATACCAATATGATTGGATTAACTCTTGTCAACAAGATTTAGACTTCTTTATAATATCAATTATCCCAAGACTTGCAAGAATCATACTCATACTCTTACAGTTCTATCTGAGGAAATAATTAGCATAGAGTGGTCTGAACCTTCAAACACCACATGACTAATCTTCGCATGAGAAAATATGTCCATCCATCCCGAAGTCGCCACACCTCTATCAAGCCGTTGTTGAATCAACCCATCATTATGTTTGTTTCTCCATGTAAAAGGGTAGCCCTCAAAACCCAAGTCAAGAGGCTAATTTCTTGCCAGGAAGTCTCAAAAATCCCTCTTGCTCGCCATAAAACGATAATTACCTCATTCATTCTCTTCGTCATCCATAATATCATTAAAATCACCAACAATGCATGTCCCTTGTGAACTAGCAATTCCCTTACTAAGCTCATTCCATTGCCCTTTCCTCCGCATATCATCCTTACTTGCGTATACAGCTAGCATATTCCAATCTAAATGTATCGTATCACCACAACACCCAGTTCAATAAAGAAACTAGTCCAAACAATATTAGAAATAGCCACCTCATCTTTCCAAAAGACACACAGCCCCCCACCAATACCCTTTGGTTCCACTGGTTGCATAAAATCAATCATTAACACCTTAATTAAATACTTATACCGATTGCTTTTATTTTTTGTCTCAAGCAAGATCACTATGCTGGGGTTGTGAAGCCGCACCTGCTCTACCAATGCATCAATTGTCAAGGAACCTCCAATTTCTTGACAGTTCCAACATAAGGGTTTCATGACGACCGTGGAAACCCTTCACTGCTGGTTTTCTCCACCTTATAAAAAATAAGAGCCCTCTTATGCCAGACATTACTATCATATCCACCTAAAACCTCAACTTCCTCCACTACTTTCGCAATCTACCACTTCCATTGCCTGCTCTTCCTACTAATGGCAGCAATAATATGACCTAATTCAAAGGGGTTCGAATCTTGAGTTCCACTCTGAACAGCCCCCACCGTGTTCTCACCAGTCACTTTTCCATCTTGATGCACCCCGACGTTCATACTTCTCCACTGTTCCTCCATCAGTTGCCCTTCTTCCTCCATACCAACCGGAGCATTCAAGTCCACTTGTAAACCCTTATGACTCCCTTCCTCATTCCCAACCCATTTCACCTCAGGTTCAACAAAATCAGTCAACTCAACATTCTCAACTCCCGGTGCAACGACACCTCCATGTCCAATAAAAACCGCATCAACAGCTCTTTCTCGTGCCCTCCTCTTCCGTAGTTCAACATTGAGCCATGGATGCTATCATACCTCCACTATCCTCCCCAATCTTCCTATCAAATTTGCTTTGTTTTAAAGGTGATGATGCCATATCCTCCCCCTGAGTTATTCTCCGCTCTTCTACTTTCTTGCCCACCATGACCACCCCCATCCCGCATTCCTATATCCCCCTACATCCTTTCACTGTTCCCTTCGCCATCTATCCGTGACTCCATTGATCTCCCACTTTCCTCTCCCATACTTAAACTTTTGGATCTTTTTACGGTGATCTAATCACATTGCCCCGCAAACCCTTTTGAGCCTCTAATCTTTCATACGGAAGTGAACCCTCTTGTCTCTGTGGTTCGTCTCCCACCCTCATTCCATTCATGTCACGCATTCCATGTACCTTGCACACCCTACTCACGCGTCTAAGCTTCCCACAATATAAACAATAATTAGGTACACCTTCGTATTTAAATTGAACCCATACTCGTCATTCATTTGGGAACGTAGCCATCATCCCTCACATCAATGGTTCCCATAGATTTAAATGAATACGTACCTCAAAAATCTGCCACTACATTCCTTATCTGTAAGTTAAAGCTTATCCCCCAAGTTCTACCCTAACTCCTCTATGATTCCTGCCGTATTCGGTTCTTTCATAAGGCCCAGCCACCCCTCGCATGCCACCATAGTACTACCTTCATGCTCGCGTAGGGTTTCGTGCGCTGATGGCCAGAAACCGACTCTCCGACTCTCCGACTTTCTCGGACTAACCCTCCTTTCGAGGACAGAATTTTTATATAATTCTAAATTATATGGTTGTCAATTGTCACTTTTTTTATTTACGTTTAAATTTTCATTTTTCATTTCATCCGGTTAATTTTCTTAGAATCCTAGCACGACCCAAATTTTTACAACTTGTGGGATTAAATGGGTTCCAGTGGTTTGGACATGTGCAAAGAAGGCCTACTGACGCTCCGGTTCGAAAATGTGACTACGGGACAGAGGTTCAGGGCCGAAGGGGTAGAGGAAGACCTAGGAAAACTTTGGAAGAGACCCTAAGAAAAGACTTGAGTACTTGGATCTAACGGAGGACATGACACAAAACCGAGTGCAATGACGTTCTAGGATTCATATAGCCGACCCCACTTAGTGGGAAAATGCTTTGTTGTTGTTGTTGTGGGATTAAATGGGTTGTGATTATATTCTCATATTGCGTTGATTTTGTTACAGTAGCTGTGTCTGAACCGGACGGTTTATCAGATGGACCGGGAATAGGGTTCGATGTGAACCGGATGCCTGGAGTGGTGGCCTCGGCTGAGGAGGCAGAAGATACGGCGGCGCCGCTATCATCTCCGAACAGCACGGTTTCATCGTTTCAGATGGATTTTGGAATGAGAAGTGGAGGAAGATCGAGTAAAAGAGATTTGGAGGTCGATGCCGACAGAGCGAGTGATGACGAGGAGAACGGGTCGACTCGGAAGAAACTCAGGCTCTCTAAAGATCAATCGGCTTTTCTTGAGGAGAGCTTCAAAGAGCACAGCACTCTCAACTCAATCCTGTAAGTCAAGGAAAAAAAAAAAAAAAGAATATTTAAGTTTTTTGTTCAGAACTTCAGAGAGTATACAATTCTCCTACTTTTGACTAATTTGTTCGTTGGTCCATTTTTTAATATTTGCAGAAGCGAAAACTTGCTCTTGCTAAACAGTTGAATCTTCGTCCTCGCCAAGTGGAAGTGTGGTTTCAGAATCGAAGAGCAAGGTATACTACTGTTTTATTTCTGTTTCTCTTTTATATAATTTTTTTTTCATTTCATACAATCACTTGTGATCACACCTTGAAATTAGAGTAAACCGAAATTTATATACTATCTCATAAATCACTATTTGGCACATCTCTCGTTCTGCAAATCCTTCTCTCTTTTTTTTTATTTATTTTTTTTTTTTTACTTCTAAATGAAATAAATCAAATAAAAATACAGACACTGAAAATTTTGGTTTTTACTTTGAAAAAAAAAAAACGAACAATTGACATTTTATTCCTATGTTTTAAATTAGTTGGCCTTCTTTAAATTACTAATTTTTGTTTGGAAAAATGATGAAACAATTATACAGGACCAAGCTGAAGCAGACAGAAGTAGATTGCGAGTACTTAAAGAGACGCTGTGAAACACTGACAGAAGAGAATAGGAGGTTACAAAAAGAACTGCAAGAATTAAGAGCTTTGAAGACCTCTCAGCCTTTCTACATGCAGCTGCCTGCCACCACACTCACCATGTGCCCCTCATGTGAGCGCGTGGTCACAACTGCCTCAGCCAACACCTCCACCACCACCACCACCAACAACAACCACATAAAGTCTGCTCAGAACAAGCAGCCAAGGTTAAATCCATTTGCTGCTCAGGTCCACATGCAGCAGTGTCAAGGTGCAGCTGCATGAGATGTCAACATAGAATCTGATATCCTGCGCTCTCCATTCCATTTGTATATATTTTGGCTTGGAGTTGGGTTTTATTTTGTCTTTTGTTCTCTTAATTATTTTTATTTATTTTTAGGTTTGGTTTTCCCAATCTTTGTCTCTGTGGTTTCTCCTTACAAGTCCTAGAAACCATAGACGGAAAGGTTGATATGATATATTTTTATTATTGATGAGGAAATTAGACACAATTTTGCTAGAAATGCCCTTTAAAATGGTTTTGTTGTTGGGTTTTTTGTGTTTTGAGAGGGAATTCAAACATAGTTACTTATATTTTGATGATCATTTTCCCACATATGCTACATTTATGACTGTAATGTTTGCCCATTGATCTTTTGCTAGAGATTTTGGGTAATGCTAGGGAGATTAAATTTGTAAACTAAATAATAAAAAAGTTGATGATTAAATTATTACTTAAATGTTGATAAATGTGTTCATTTCATATTTGTGACACATAATTTGGTTTGCAAATTTTGTTTACAAATTTAGTATCTCTAGCATTACTCAGAAATTTTTCAGTGTGTTCGGAACACAATGTGATACACTACATATTATTATATAAGTAGTTGGACATTTGAAAAATAAAACTTATCTCCACTAATACTTCTTTTGTTCTAAACAGACTGAAAAATTATTGATCTTTTGCATGAGATCTATAAATAAATACAAAATTCCTTTACCAGACAGTTTACTAGTATATTTATGGAAGATCTTGGTTTGAGATATCCTATGATGATAGACTACGCGTACAAATACTTTCATGTTAGTGGAAGATCTTTGGCTTGGCCTGTTCATCGGGAAGATGTGTTATTGGAGACAACAGTTGGATATAGTTTAGGTGTTTGTATATTTTTTTTCTTAGCAGATCAAGATTGAATGAATCAAATGAAAATTTATAATTAGGCAAACACAAAGATTAATGAGTCTAGAAGAAAAAATGATGAATGTCAAAATCACTATCCAATTTAGATTAAATCCTCATGTCGAACTCCTCCAATCAAAGCAGGAGGTTTTTCAAACCAAGAACAATAGTCTCATGCAACTTTTCATCATCTTTTTGGAGCTCAGAACCTTTCCCAAATTTTCACTTAGCATATCTGGTCGATTGGATGAAGATCTTTTGTATTTTGGTACTTGTGTGTTTTGGATGAGAGGTAGATCTTCATCTGATCTTGAAGATGGGAAAGATAAGTCGTTGTTTCACTGGTCGCAAATGAGAATAGTCTCCTATGTGTAAAAGCATGCCAAACAGATGTGCGGCAACTTGCATGTTAAGATACAAAATATACCATCTACATCTTCATCTCGTTGCATGGAAAATTCAAGCGATTTCAAGTTAAGATGCAAACTTCAAATTTGTATATTTTTTTATTATCTTAATTGTATTTAATTTTATCTGTTTGAGATTCTTTGTCTACCATAACGATCGTTCAACCACAACTAGTCAATTTAATGTCATCCTAAACCCTATCTTGTGGTTTGTCTTGTCATTATTTGTTGATTAGATGCCATTGCGATGAAGGAACTTATCTTAATATAGAACGACGTTGACAAAACCATTATTCCAGACACCAATATCACCCATAATTTCTACATCTTTAAAGGAGTTTTGTTTTTCTTCACGATTAAGTTTTGTGTCATCCTTTTGTTTATCATCTTATCATTATTATGATTACGTACAGTAAATTTGATGTTGATGTTATCCACATTCTTAGTTTATTTTGGAACTTAGGAAACAATTTTTGTGGTTCAATATCGTAGTAAATAGCCTAGGTTTCTACCCATGTGTTTCGGGTTCAAAACTCACAACTTTCCTAAATATTTGTAATAGTTTCAAACTATCTCCTTTTCCCTTTAAAATAGTATTTTTAAAAAAAAACTTAGTTATTGATGTTCTTGCTCTCTCATTCTCTGAATAATGTTAGGAAGACCGCATATTTTTACTACATTAGTATACTCTCACATGTGACAAATGATATATACAACCAATATTCAATGATATTAATTCATGAATTGACGTGACATATACACATCACTTACCATATCAAATAGTACATCAATGTGGCACAAAAATGTGGTCTCCGTAACATTTTTTATTTATGTACTTTCTTTTTTAGAAGATTCATGATCTCTTGGTCTCTGATTCTATTTTTATGTTTATATCAATGAACACCTTTTTGTCATTGATGAGTTATTGGAGGATGAAGATTTATTTTCTCGGTCGATATATTGGGAATAAGGATGGAGCTACTACATGAAAATCCTAATTTTGTTGTGAGTAGATGAAAATAAATCTTTATCCTCCACTACATTTTCAATCTCTTCATCAATCTTTATTCTAATTTTGTAACGTGTGAACATGGGATGATAAAGATTGATGGAGAGGTTGAAAATATAGTGATGATCAATAAAACTCAAAAGTCGTGTAAATATGCATTGAACCCATAAATGATTGAATAATTAAACAAGGGACATGGAGAAATCAATCGAAATCGGACCACATAATACCATACATAATAATGTTTGAAAAGCAAGTTAAACATGGAGAACATATTTTGTGTGAAATTTGGTCCAATAGCTGTTGGATGAGTGACTAAAATTGATGTGTGAGTGATGGAAAACCGATAGCTAGCTGTAAATGATGTGCTCAGCAAAGCCCCTACAAAATGCTAGCAAGGACGAGATGGTAGTCGGTATGGACTAAATTCAAGGGTTATATTACAAGTCAAACACCTAAACTATGAGGTTAAATTACAAGACAAGCAAAGCATGACTACTGATTCATGAAGAGCGTTAGTATATGAGGACATTTGGGTATGTCCAGGAACAAGCCGAAAGTTTTGTTCATTGCGGCATCCTCAAACAATAAAATAACAAAAAATAAATCTAAAGAATATGAATAAAAAGTCTGACTACTCAATAATTTAAACTACTAAAGACAACTCACTATATTATCAAATACGGTTGTCGTTGTATGTAACCATGTTATCATTGATACTCCTCTTCCATCTAATTTCACAATCATTACATAATTTTTTTTAGGTCTTTGTATGTTGGGTAGTCATTAAACCTGGGTGGGGTGTTGTCAATTTAACAAGATTATGTTATTTCATATAAGTGGTTATTAACGGGGTATGTTACTTAGACATGTAGTACATATTTGTTTTTTCTATAAAGAAAATGAGCGGGGACATTTGTCCTGTTGTGCCTAAAATAGCGTCTATGGATAGATTTAAGGGTTTTTTTTTTTAATAATAATTACCAAACAAGTTTTCAGTTTTAAATTTTTGTAAAAAGTATAAATGAAACTAAAATTTGAAAAGAAAATAATTATCAGAGGAACTCTTAACTTGTTTGTTGTTATCAAGTATAACACATTTTAGGATTTACTCATCTTACACATGAATACTCATTTTTTTAGAGCCATTGCTTGTCATAATCAAGAACAACAAACCTATTACGGATCTAAATTGATATTCCACATCAAATCTAGTCTCTAGATGCACACATGTCTTCCCATTTACGTTTGTTATTGGATGCATTTAAAAATTAACATCATGCATACCAAGTATGGTTGGCTACAGATTGCCCAAATGTGGTATAGCATTTGAGTATTGGGCCCTATGGTTTTGTTAACAAGATCCACTGTGCCATGAAGCCCTATAGTCCATGAGCGTATGATACTATCATACTTTTTTTTTTTTTTAACAAATGATATATTTTATATTAAGGGGGTAAGAGAGTCGGTTAAGCCTCATAATAGGCTAGCAGAAAATAAAACAAGAAGCACCCCATGCGATTGACAAGTGAAGAAGTCTCGTTTGACATGAATCGATTCCCTATCTTTGGCGAGAATCAAATCTAAACGTCTGATGCTATCATACTTACTCGTACTAAAATTATGAAACAGTACTCATGATAGACGATTTTTATTGAAAAGGTTGGTTTCTCGACCAAAATTTAACACAATTTTTTTTTTTTGGGTACAAATGGCAGTCCACACTAAATGAATTGGGAACCAGAACTTGAAATGTAAAGAGAGCAAATTGTAGTTGAGTCACTTGGAGAAAAAGATGAGAGGCAAAGATGGTCTTATTGGGTGTGCTAAATTTGTAAACACGACAATTCTTGCAACGAATGAAACAAAAACACATATACAATATAATTTTTTTGTATTAATGAGGGTTTATGGTTACATCCTCTTTGTAGCTATTCCTTTACAATAACATTTCTTTGATCTGATCCTGAAAGTAGAATTCGATTCAAGAACGGTGAACACTTGATCCTGAATCAGGTTTGTGATTTCTTCAAGGCTATTGAGGCTTGATCTTGATGAAATGGGACCACGAGAAGTTTCACTTGGTGGGTGATCTTTGGATTTGGTGGTGGATGAATCGGCACGTGTTTGTTGCACTTTTTAATTCTCCACGAGCTGGATGAAGAACACAAGTGTATTTGGTGTTTGCTTTGGTCGGAGAGCTTTCTAGTTTCTCCAAAGGCTTGAACTTCCTTCGTTTCTCTTAGATGTCGACATGTGCCACTCTTGATGACTTATCCGGCTTTGATAAGTCGCAAGCAATATGTGCAATTAAGCATCCCCGTCACTATAGGGGGTGAGAAAAAATGAACTCATTGTAAATAATTTCTCTTGTTTCACTTTTACGAAAACTTAATTTCATGCTTCTATCAACTCGGCAAAAGTCCAAACCAAATCAAACTGACCAAATTGAATTTGGGTTGGTTCGGTATAGTTCATTGATATAGTAACTTTTGTGCAAAATCCAATTGAATCGAACCCGTCATTCATGACTCGATTTTAAGTTTTGAAACCGAAGACAGAATTGAACCACGCTCACACCATAACCGGAATTGGGAAATATGTTTATGTGATATGTGTATGTGACAAACTTTTGAGCAAATGTATCCACATTGACAAAATAAAATTCTAACAAATTGGCAAAAAAAAAAAAAAAAAGGAATTGTTATTATCATTTCAAAAATCTCATTTTACACTCCTCATAAGTGTAATTTTCTTACTAATTATAAAACGTTTGGAATGCAAAGTAAGATTTTTGGAGTGCCAATAACAATTCAAAAAAGAAAATAAGCCTCTTTTTATTTGTGGAGGCCAGATGACCTATAGAAAAGTTAACTAAATACCTATTAGAAATAAATGGAGCAGCGCCCATGGCACTCCCCCAAACCCATGTACACTACAAGAAAACATG